TCAAAAAATATTTAATACTGTCAATTTCCAGTCGTGTAAGTAGCGCGAATAATAGAAGCATAATATTTTAAATTTAGGTAGTAAGAAAATATGGATCTATTAAAAAAGTATTACCTACTAGTTACTACCTACTAACTATACTGCAGTAGACAGTAAGTTGTAGCAGTTGTAGTGTATGTGTATACCATAAGAGATAAGACTATAGTGTCAACTAACTGGTCAACTCACTGTTGATAATCAACGGCATTACCAATCTTTTTATTTTTATCAGTTTTGATTGATGATAATGTCGCATTTGTAATCGGCAATCGCGCACATAAAACGTGAACTACACACGCCAACGACCGACCGCCAACCAACCAACCACTCGCGGTGACGTCGATTCGCGGCAGTGGTCGGCGCAATCACCTCGCATAGTGTTTTTTACCACTCCCACCATTTAGCATTACCGTATATCGTATACGAATACCGGTCCAACTCTCCGGTWGTCGTGTGTCGTGTCTATTTCAGTAGTTCAGACAGTTCAGTTATTCACTATTCAGTTATAGTATGACATTCTGTATTTCTGCGAATCCGTTGGTTGCTATTCGCTCGTTTCCCGTTTTAACGTCATAATTATTTAGTATTCACACTTTACAGTCTGTACCTATTGATATCACGGCCAGATTACCGTTCGTCCACTTGTCCGCCGTGTACCTGTAGCCGATATTCGATAACAATTGGTTAGAATATTATTTTATRTCTCATTTACTCGTCTACCTACTTGTCTTGTAGACTGTGGGCGGAATTAGTGTTTTTTTTTTTTATTTCTCGTTTTTTCACCGCCGCACTGTTTTGCGATCGACACTATTCGATCCTATTAAATACCGCTGTGTAATAGTTATCCATAAATCACTATGACCGAAAAGGAAGTGAAAAAATACTCTATGGCCGAGGTCGTTGAAAATGCAAACTCCACAAAACCGTGGATCGTGATCAACGACAGCATATACGACGTCACAGAATTTCTAAACGAYGTACGTCCCCCGCCGTTGTGATCTCGGCTACTCCGGTTGTGTTCCGCCGGGTACACGTTGTCTAGCTAATGGTTTTAATTCGTTTTGTGGGTTTTTGTTTTACAGCATCCCGGTGGCGAAGAAGTCTTATTGGAACAAGCTGGCAAGGATGCGACAGAAGAGTTCGAAGATGTCGGACACTCGAGTGACGCACGTGAAGTAATGCAAAAATACAAGATTGGAGAACTTATAGAAGTAAGTGTTTGATAGAGTGTCTGAGTAAGTGTCCTAGATGGAATATTTAATATTGTRCTGATTGGGTTGATGTTTGAATACCTACAACTTTGTGTGCACAACCTTAGTATACACTCGGTATCTAAATTGTGTTTTTTTTGCTTTCGAGGACATAATATTGTTAGTTTGTACCTATACACATTTATTATTTATAATGTGTATTTATATTGATTTCAAATATAGTGTTTGGTTGGCTGGCTAATTATTAGTGGTCAAGGATTGTCGATGTCAGTGTACTTATATAATTTTTTATACCTATATTCTGTATGTGATATGGAACAGAGGTTATGCGACTGGTTCAATATCATATTATCRATTTCCTTAATATGAGCATTTTATTGTAATTTTGGGTGAGCATATAGGTAGTAAAGTGCTGTACTTCCTCACGACTTATAAAAAGTCTATAAGCTAATAGCYGGGTTAATCAATTAAAAATTAAGGAAGGTTGTACTATTACTGATTTAAACAATGATAGGTTATACAGTTGTCTATTGGAACTCCTATATGATATATTACACTTTTAAATGCTAATATCATATAAATAATTTTTTTTTTTTTAAATTATCCCGCGGCAACTAAGGCCATTGGGAAGGGGGTAGTACTGTAGGTTCTTATGGAACTGTAGGTTGGTTTTTACACTATATAAATAATTGAATAGTCATAACCTACTGTTATTAAGAAAAAAAAAATGTATTTATACATTGGTACCTAAGTAGTTGTTTGCTGTAAGAGTAATTCCAATCTTAAATTTAGGTGTACTTAACTAGGTATTTTTCTGATGTTTTWAATATTTTTTAAGTAAATTTTACTACCTAACCTAATGAGTAATGACTAATACCTATAGCTGGACTCCCTCCCTAGTC